TTTTTTTTTTTAAGATTTTATTTTTAAGTAACATGGGGCTTGAACTCACAACTCCAAGATCTAAATTCGCACGTTCTACCAAATGAGCCAGCCAGGTGCTCCAAAGAAGAATACTTTAGATAATCCAGTGGGCCCTAAATGCAATGCAACCACATGTATCCTCATGAGAAGGGGAAGGGGGAGATCTGGCACTGAAGAGAAGGTAAAATGACCATGGAGGTGGGGACTGGTGATGGGGCCACCAGAAGTTGGAAGAAGCAAGCAACAGAGACTCTTCTACAGCCTCCAGTGGGAGTATGACCTGCTGTCACCTTGGTTTTGGCCCCATGATACTGATTTTGGACTTCTGGCCTCTAGAACTGTGAGAGAACATATTTCTGGTAATTTGTTAGAGCAGCCACAGGAAATGAATACAGTCTCCCACAGAGATCCCCCTACAAATGAATTCACCTCCTTCCCTGCCTCCAGCCCCTTTCTTGGCTATTTGTGTTTCTTTCTAGTACCTATCAATTCCTGGCATGGTGTATGTTTGTGTATTATTGTAGGCTCCTCCCACTTGAACATAAGCACCACGGGAAAAGTGACATTTTTTTAACCGCTTTTCTCCCCATGCCTAGAAGAGTAGGCACATAGTAAGTACTCAATAAACATTGGTTGGATACATGATTGAATGTCATGTTATTGCCACCTGGAGAGCTCGGAGATCACATCGGGATACAGTAGCAGATATCACAGCATGACCTACCACTTTTAAAGTGCCACTTTAAAAGATATCTGAGGGGCGCCTGCATGGCTCAGTCGGTTAAGCATCTGACTCTTGATTTCAGCTCAAGAGTCATGATCTCACAGTTTGTGAGATCGAGCCCTGTGTTGGGCTCTGCACTGAGCATGGAGCCTGCTTAAGATTCTCTCTCTCTCTCTCTCTCTCTCTCTCTCTCTCTCTCTCTCCCCCCCCCCCCCTCTCCAACTCTCTCTTTCTCAAAAAAAAAAAAAAAATCTGAGATAGAGTCTAGTCTCAGACAACCCTGTTTTTCATTTCTGCATCAATTTCTGTTTCCTACTTCATTCAGGCCCCAAACCTTGCAATGGCCTTCAGAGCCTCTCCTTCCCACACTCTATGTCCAAACCACCGGGAAATCTTGGTGCCTTCAAATTCTCTTCCTTCAAGGGGACACTCACAATCCCACTGCCTCTCTTCACTTCCATTGCCCCTCTGCCACTCCTGGTCTCAGGCCGATGACAGCAATGGCTTCTGATGGTTTTTTGCCGTCACTCTTGGCCCCTCCGTACAACTCAGCAGCCAGAGGGATCCTCTGAAAACATAGTTACATCTTGTCTCTGCTTCGTTCATGACTCTCTGATGGCTCCTAGATCCCTCAGAGGAAAAGCCAAGTCCTCACAGCAGTGCCTACAGATGGCAGTGACAACTGCTCTCTGTCATTTGTTGTCATATCCCACATCCCTGACACGCCATTCTGTCACTCAGTTCGAGCTCCTCTAACCTCCCTGCTTCCGTAGAAGTTTTTGTCATCACACACACGCATTCAGTTACTGCTTGTTTCCCCCACTAGAATGAACTTCAAGAGGGGAAGGATTTCAAGATTTTGATTTTAAGTAATCTCTACAGCCAAAATGGGGCTCGAACTCATGACCTTGAGATCAAGAGTCGTGCGCTCCACTGACTGAGCCAACCAGGCGCCCCAAGAGGGGAAGGATTTTTATTTATTTGGTTCATTGATGTACCCTCAGTGTCTGGAACAATGGTGCCTGGCACATAATAGGTGTCAGTAAATATTTCTTGAATAAATAAATGAGAAACGTAATTTTGGACTAGGTAATGTTTCCAAAAGCAAAGGGATACATGGAAGGACTTATAAAGCTCAGGAAACCAGGCACATTTTCCTTATACTGGGATTTTTTTGTTTTTGTTTTTAAAAAAAATTAGCTTTCTCTTTTTATCCCTTTCGTAATTGAGAATAGTTTGATGTGATTGGCTTAGTAAGGATCTCTGGACAATAGGGCAGAGAAAAGAAACCTGCCTTTTGGGAATATGACAGTATGTAAGAAAATTAATTATGTGGAAACTATAAAGAAATATGTCGTTTGTGTTGTACGATTTGTTGGCATAAACATACATACACGGACTGTGTGAAAATTGCTTTGATGAGTCCCGCTTTTGATGTTACCCCCACCCCCCTCACTTTGTTTGCTCTGCTCTGCTGTCCCTTAGAACACATTTCCTCCCTATACATGCACACATCTCCGTACAGACACCCAGGAAAAAATGGTCATTCAGGCGTGTGTCAAGTCCTGCACACCCCAAAGATTCATTTAAAAAATACAGGCATGTTATAAATCTTGGCTGACAATCTAGTATTTGCCTAGCCAGAATGACCTCTGCACCAGAACTGGGGGCAGAGAGAGGGAGGAAGAGAGGGAGGAGAAGGAGAGGGAGAGGGAGTGGGGAGGGAGAGAGGGGCGGAGGAGAGGGGGAGAGGGAGGGAGGGGCAGGCTTTATAGCCATTTGGTTTAGTGGACTGCAGCTTCTCATGAGTATTCAGCCTATAGGATGCAATCGGGATATGTCTGAAGTATTATAACATGGATATGTCATATATCACTGCATGGGCCCCTATCAGCAATCTCACATTCCAGAGCAGATTTTGACGGTGTTTGTTTGAGTTAATTCCTAATTCGAAGGGAACACATCAGCCCTGATTTTCCTTGGGAAGAAGTTTGCTCCTGCTTCTTCCTGACCCACACCATTGCTTGCTTGCTCTGGGCACTCCTCTGGCATGCCCCCCACCGACCCTTAGGACCACTACCAGCTGTAGTCTCAGCCTCCTGGCTCTCATACTTCCTGCAATGGTCACCACATTTCACCTCCTTCTTTCCCTTTAGGAGACAAAGACTCTCTTCGGTCAGGCCTTTCTCCTTTCCTCGGATGCCTCCTTCCTGACTCATCCTTGGTCCCTGGCTGGATTTGCCATACACCATAGAAATGAAGAAAATCACTTTACCAGCTGTTTTATCAAGCATCAGATTTGTGGTGAGGTTATCTGGAAATAGCAACAAAGCCTGGAAGACCATGCAAGATGTCACTGTGGGATGAGAGAGTACTGATAACACAACATACCAGCTACACTTCCAAGTGTCTCAACTCATTCACTCCTCAAACAACCTTATACAGGAGGTACTATTATCGTTACTCAATTTAATGGAGGACACAGAGGATGGGGTTAAGTGCTGGAGTTGGAGATTCTAATCAGGGCATTCTGGCTCCCAAATGAATACCAAAGACCTGCCTCCAGCCGTGGGCCAAGAGCTCAGATTCCCTGGGTGTCTACATTGTGTTCTTATCCCCCTGAATCTAGCGGCTAACCCCCCAGTTATCTCTGCCTTAGTTGGGGGAAGAGTCCACTGTTTGGCATGGAAAAGGTTAATGCATTTGAAGGCAGGTCTTCATTACTGATTTCATTTCCATGAGTGTTAAAATGAAATCTGCTTCCCCAGAGCTTTTCCCAGAAAATGACAGTAGGTCATGGGAAAACAGAGCCATCTGTCTGTCAGTCTGGGCTCCAGGTGTAAAGAGAGGCCCTGGAAATGTCAGTCCATATAGTTCTGGGGGAAGAATGAGAGTTTTTAGTTACAAGTAAATCTTCAGAGGGGGTAATTCCACCTGAACCCTACATGGTGGCCGCCTTGTCCCTTGTAGAGCCAGTATAGAAGGTCCCTGCTTGATGCAGAAGGGAGGTGCTAATCTTGCCAGGGTTGTCTTCTACATGTCTTGGTTTATATAGGGTTTGGTTAGGAAAAGTCCCTAGAACCTTCCCCAGCCTACCTATTCTCACTCCCCTCAGCCTCCAGTTCTGCCCACATGACTGCTTGGATGAAAAGACCTTCTGCATTCTCAGGGCTATCGCAATAATGCAAGATCTAAAATGTACCCAATTAAGATACTTGTTCCAGAAACAACGTGAGTCCAGATATGGGGTTCCAACTGAGGCTCGGGCTTGAGGCCTGTATTCCCTTCCTCATCCTGGAACTCACAGGAGCTACCCAATAGGACATCTCAACTAGTGACAGGGGATCTTGGCCTCTCTTGACACGTGGTGCTTGGCAGTGGCCCGCCCCAGCTCCTCTCAACCGAACTAGGAATGTTCTCTTGACCACTTCAGGTCACGTGACATCGTCCAGGGGAGCCGGGAACCAAAGGAGGTCGGCATTTCCTTATCTACCCATCCCTGTCCTGGGCACATAGTAGGATACGTACTCAGTAAATCTGCCAGATCACCGCGAAGTGCGTCTTCCACTGCACCTATTGCCTGCGACCTGCTCAGCACAATTCCCTCGTTCACACTGCGCCTGGCAAATGCTCTGACTTGAAGCAAGAAACCACATGCTGGTAGGTCTCTGCTGTATAAGAGGAGATGGCAAGGAAGACAGGTACATCCTCTTTCCTGAAGTCAGCACTGGATTGTTTGTGGCAATGTCCTTGCTGGTGGAGTGTCCAGGCCTTTGGCTTTTATTCGTCAGCATCCTGGCCCGAGGGGCAAAGCTGGACAGGAGGCGGCAACCACGAGAGTTTTCCCATTCTCCTAGTGACTAACAGCTCCATAGAAGGAAGACTGGGATTAACGCTTGAAACGAGGCCAAAAAAGTTACCCACAGGGTTTCCATTCTTTCCGCTTTTAATCTGTCCCTATGACCAAGAGTCACCAAGAGCTGGCTCTATTCCTTTGTTCCTGTGAGTTGCAGGGAAGACAAAGGTGTGGGCTCCCACTGTGGCCAGATCCCCTGGTGGTGGGGGTGGGGGGTTGTGGAGTCTGGCGAGGGGAATTAACTCTTCTTACCTTAGCAGTACAGCTGGTGTGAAGACACTAGGACGCGTAGCCACGAATCCAATGGACTAAGTGGAAAACTCCAAGGAGAACAGGAACCAGGGGCTCTTGGTGGAACCGGGGCAGGGGAAATGTCAGAGACAGAAATATGAGACTCTGGGCGGTGATAAAATAAATCGTTTTAATGGGAGGCTTTCCGAAAGGGTAACTTTTTCTTGTGCTATGAAGCAGCCAGTTTCCTTGCCTTGGGGGTTTCTTGGGTGGTGTCCTGACTGAACCCCTAGCCCCACCGGGAGCTAGGATGTTAGTCTGACACTATGTTCAGCCCCTCCAGGATCCAGAGGTGTGTCTTAACATCAGGAGATTGGAGTCGGCTGGCGGTCAGTCCCAAACGTACAGTGCCTGTGTGTGTCCAGGCCTGAGGGAAAGGGGCAGAGGCTTCACTTCCGACTCAGGATACGTCTCCGTGGGGGGAGAAAAAAAGGGGGCAAATCACTTTGAAAATTCAACTCTGACCTTTACAAAGAAAACTAATAGACACTTTAGTATTATATACAGGGTAGGGGCGAAAGGGAGTGGAGGGGAAATTGCACTTAATTACAGTAGGTTATAGTTTACACCCATTGGACAAATTTACTTCTTCAAAAGAAATCTCGAGATCAGCTGGGAGGGGTGGGGGAGGGGGGGAGTCTGCAGATATTTACAGTGTGTTTGGCTCAGTTCAACAGCACGTGTCCTCCTCCTGTCAGTAACAGATTCAAGTTTTCACATCAGTTTGTTCGATGAAGGAGCATAATGCAGGCACGACAGCGTTCTCTCTTCCTCTTCTGCGGTTTCTTGTCTCCCGCCTGTGGGCGGGATGGGAGTACTTGACGTCTTGGGAGAGGCATGGCAACAATACTGCATAGAAGGGAAGGGCTGCGCCTCGGAGCGGCTGTCTGAAGCGTCAGCAAGATGTCAGGTAAGCAGAGACCTCTCGAAGGTGCTTGTCAGGTCACTGGGCTTTTCTGTGACAGCTGCCCGGAGGGTGATGGTGTGGAAAATAGGGTCCTTGTTGCTGTGCACAAAGCAAGTGATGTGTGGTCATCACCAGGCTTGGAGAGGGCACTGCAGAGAGAGCAGAGAGAGCTCAGCCGTGTGCAGTTAGCGGGGACAACAGCCCTTGGTTTGTCTTCTCCAGGGGAGCCGAGACCCAAGTCAGCCGGCAAAGGGCCGAGGACCTAGTGCCTGCTCGATGCCACAGTGTTGGTCCTGAAGCACACTCCCTTTAGGAACACTCGGGAGCCAGATCTTCTGGCCACTTCAGAAGAGAGAAGTGAATTGCTGGGGACCTTGAATTAATCACAACTCACTGACCTTTATTCTGGAGTCAAGCTCCTCTTTCTTTGAGAGTGGGTTTTTATTTTAATGTTTGTTTATTTTTGAGAGGGGGGAGGGGCAGAGAGAGAGGGAGGCACAGAATCTGAACAGGCTCCAGGCTGTGAGCTGTCAGTACAAAGCCCGACGTGGGGCTCGAAGTCACAAACCGCAAGACCATGACCTGAGCCGAAGTTGGAAGCTTCTACCCAGGTGCCCTGAGAGTGGGTTTTACGATGTGCTCAGTGTGGGTGCAATGGCAGCTGGACAGGAGCTTTTGCCTCTCATGGAAGTCAGGGTCCTGTTCCTGAGACCTCTAAGGGCTGGGGTTCCCTAGACCATTGATCCCCAAACTTCAATGGACCTAAGAATACCAGACATCCCGTGAAAATGCGTATTCTGATGGAGTGGGCCTGTGGTGGACCTAAGAACCTGCATTTCTAATCAGTTCCCAGATTGTGCCAATGCTGCCGATCTACTTGAGCACATGAGAAAATGGCCACTTGCTCAAATGACCCATCAGGGAAGGAGTGTGGGAAAGTGCTCTCTGTAGGCTTGCTCCTAATAGGACAAGAGACCTGGGCTGAAGGCCTCTGATGCCCAGACGAGGGCAGGAGACCCCAGAACAGATGGAGAACCCCCCTGAGAGGAGTCACCCCTTCCAGAGCCCTCGGCCTCATTCATTTCAACCGTCATGGCACACCATTCCCGTCCTTTTCCAGGGAGGCCCTTTTTGCTTCCCTCTGTCTCTTCTTTCCCTTTCACTTGTTTGGGCATCTTAGGGGAAAGTTCTGCCTTTTGACTTAATGGCTCTTTCTCTAAAGACTCTTCCCTAAACACTCAGGAGCACACATAAGTGTGTGCGCACACACACACACACACACACGCACAGCCCCCCACTACCATTACTACGAAAGGCTTATTATCCCATTATTATCTCATAAATCAGTGCTCCCAGCCATAATCCTGTATGAGGTTGCCATTATGCCCATTTTACAGATTAGGAAGACGAGTTCAAAGAAAATGAATTGTCCAGGGTTTTAGAACTAGGACAGCATAGAGACAGAAATTCAAACTGGTTCCGGGTACCCTCCTGGCACATGTTCTTTCTATTATGCTCTGAGGTTAAGAGTCTTCTACTGGCTTTGTGCTCTTGGTCAAGGTATTCTCTTTGTGCCTCAGTTTTTTCACCTGTAAAATGGAAGTTGTAGAGGGATCGGGTGAGCCGATACATGGGAAGTGTTCAGAATTAACACTGGGCTACACAGGGTGGTGCCCTAGTCCGTGCGGCCCTCGAGCCCTCTTCAGAATGCGACTGAGCTGTGCATTCATTTGAAGGGACCAGTTCTGACCCTTTTAAATTCTTGAGGCCCTTGTCAGGGTCCTCGGATACCCTTTGCCTCCTCTTCCTCCCGTCGCCCACCCCCACTTTTGAGTCTCTTTACTTCCCACTATCAGCCCTTTTCCAATTTTCAGATTTCAGGGAAGGAGAGAGAAAATGGCTTGTGACCTTGCAGGTTTCAATAGAAGAGCAAACAAGAAGGGCAGATAAGGAGACGCCAGCGAGACTCTATGACCTGTCATCAGGGACGGGCTTCCCAGCTATCAGATGTTTGCTCACATAATAAAATGGTGGCAGAGCCCTAAATGCTGTCAAAGGAACTAGAGTTATTTGTCCCCTTCAGAGTCTAAACACAAACAGCTGATAAGGGGTGCGCTGTGGTCCCTCAGAACCAAGGCCTGGCACACCCAGCCCCTCGGGGGCCTTGCCCAGAGGATCTGAGGGAACCTCCCTCTGAAAGGGGTGGTAGCTGTGGTGATTACGTATGGTAAGAGCTAACATTTATCGAGGCCCCACTGTGTACCAGGCACTGTGCTAAGGAAGGACTTTACTCACATCATTGTATTGGATTCACACATCAACCCTTTGAAGCAGGTAATTATATTCATTCATTTAATACATTTTTGAATGCCTTCTACATTCTTAGCACTTTTTTAGGCACAGGGGATGCAGCCACAAATAAGACCCTGTCCATACCCTCACAGAGTTTATATTCTAGAGAGAGATCTGAACAATAAAGTGAATGAATATATATGTATGTATGTGTACACACATGTGTATACATATTGTACATATGTGCACAAAA